ACCTAAAAATAACGATTCTCGATCGAAAAATGGCCAATTCCGCTACAATTCATCAAAATTTGTCACACATTGATGATGATTTGTCGATTCGTTGACGCGTGTATACAGTGTTAAATGACTGCAGTGGAAAAGAATAAAGTTGTTTCTTTCTTTCCAAATTTTCATATTCTTCAATCACACACTGAGATTTGCATCATGAAGCTCTGTTATGAGCCAAAATGGAAAAACATTTGAAGAGTGGAATCAGTTCATTTTATAGCTTATATCTACTTACTGACAGTCGTGTTGCCGTTTAATTCTCTATTATTCTGACGAGCAGTTAATGTGGAGCAATTTCGTATCGAATTAATTCATTGCTTTCCGAGTGATGCGATTCAACAGTTTAAAAAGTATTGGTACGAAGGCATTTTGCAGAGAAATTTTCCATGGCACTCCAGCACATCAACTTCCTGATATTGTACGAACTTATACTGTTGGACCTGAAGGGCGGGTGAGATATTACCTCAAATTGTTCCTTTTTTGAGCCATTTTCAATAAATTTTGCAAAGAAATTGCAAGCAAATGAAGAAAAGTAATTTGATTCCGAATATTTGATCGAAACACATTTGAAATCAGCAAATTGACATCTCATATGATTGATCCTACGCAAAAAGGTGACGGTTCGGTCGAACCAATTTTGAAGGGTGATTCTCCTGCATAAGAATAGTTCTTTAAATGTTAACTGAGACTGCACAATAGAGTTTTCTTGTCTCAGTGATCTGCTGGAGATGAATATCGCAAGCAAAATAAAGAACGTGTTATGGAAAAAATGATATATTTATTGAAACATGTTCAACATGTTGAGTTTCTTTGTGTTTTCGTTGTTCGAGAAGTTCTTAGAAATCAGTTTACAAGTGAATCAAACACAACAGTTTGTACATGAACTTGAAGCAGTTTGAGAACCTATTTAAAGGGTTTCGTTTGCAGAACGCATGCAGCAATGACATTTGAATTGTTTCAGTTTATTTATATAAGTGGTTGGAACCTTTTTGTGAGGCATTCCGATTTTGCATTGACACACACGCCAACATTGTGGATTTACGATTGTTTGCAACTGAAGGTGATTCGGTTAATTTTGTAGTTAGAAATTGAAGAGTCTGCACTCTTCTGCATGACAGCAATAATTCCTCCCGATGGAAAATTCTAACAGATTTGCGATTTGTCTACATATAATCATAAGGATTAATTGAGAGTTGACAAATTGATCGTCTCAGTTGTTTTTTGATCACCCATACTGTTGATCTTGTGCATGTAAAAGAGAGGAACATTGAGCCCAATGCTTTTCCACGATGAAATGCATTAATATTGAGAGACCTTATAAAGTGATTCAAATTTATGAATTTCAGTCTTTAACACTACCACTTGATTGTGATCAATACGTTGAAGTAGTTGATTTCTATTCGTTGAATGAGACTGAATTCGTGCTGATGACTTTCGATCAGCATTTGGGTGTTTTGTCGCAGAATCTTCTGAAAATTGATCGTTTCAAAAATGATACTATTTGTGAACTGCAAAGAAACTGGAAATTCAATGCCATACAACGCTCTGTTAGAGTTGGTTAGCCAAAGTTTTTATGCGGTCATTGATCAGTGTAGAGCATGGTTGAACAGCTTTCAATTTGTTATTGCTAAAGCAATTGCTCAATATAGCATCAATAAGCTAACACTGAAAAGCACATGGGAACGTAGAGTGTTCAAGGTATCGGTGGTGCGTCGTTGGGTTATGTTGTAATCTGTGGAATGACAAGTGCTGAAATGGGTGCAATTCTAATGGTTAGAATGATTGCGGCTGATCCCAGATCCACAAAGCATCCGCAGATCAATCTCGATGAACAGGTCAGCAAGCAAATATGTCGGCATCTAGCATGCTTCACACAGTGCATTTTTACAGATTTATAAACTGGAAACAATCGTTAAACAGCATCCAAACGAATTATTTATTTGGCCACTGTCCACAGTCATGTTGAACAATAAAGGAGTGTATTTACCGTTAGCAAAGTAAATCTTTGTTTGTTTGAATGATCAGTAATTATACCTCACTAAGGAATAAGTGTTCCATCAATATCACCTTCTTCCTTTACTGACTTCTTTCCTTCCTTACAACTAATCATATTAGCACAGCAAATCCTTCAATTCAATCATTCTGTCCTTACGAACGATTATTGATCGGTTGATAATGATGGTACTTCGCGGAATAGTCCAGCAAAGGCAAGGAGATCAGCCCTATCTCTCCTATGAAAGAATATGGGCATTGAACACTTCCCAATAACGGTCTTAAATCGAGGAATCGATCCTCTACAAGCTCGCCGCATTAGTTTCAAGTGANAATGAAAACTTGCAGAAGATGTGGAAATTCGTTGATAGCAGAATGCTCATTGATCGGTGCAATTGAGTTCAAAGCAGATGAAAGATTTGATATCAAATTAATTAGAGTTGATGATTCCAATATACGGTTAGTGTATTGAAATCAGACTGCAGAACTATGCGAAAGTTGATGCACTTCGTCAGGGAACCATCGATTTCTTGCTCGATCTTCGAAACGTACCGCCACATTCTCAGTCAAAAACCAATCTACGAAAACTTTGACCTACGTCCGATAAAAACTCCTACGGAGATATCTTCGCATCTTTTCTCACTGAGAATTTTCTAGCAAAATTTATCGAAATTTGAAGAAACTATCTGAACAAAGTGAAGGATAAAGCAGCACTGCTTTCTGAAGTTTTATTTAAGTGATGTGGGTGAACGTGAACTGTGCATAAATTACGTCTCGATGATGGCTCAGAAAGGTCGTTCTGCATGGTTCACCTCGATCGTTCCCGCACATCCATCGCATTGGCGATGGAAACTACAGAAGTTGGCGACATGCTTTTGCAGGTTTCTTAATATTGTCAACTTCGTGTTAATTTGAATATGGTCACCGTGATATTGCTCTACAGATTGAGCAATGGCGATACAGTGCAATGAAATGAGCTACGTTTCAGAAACTCATCTGAATGTAAGCATGACTGCCCGACAACATATATACTCTTCTGGAGTCAGAGAATCTGTTGAATTCGGTAGTGCATAGAAACCAACATGTTGTTGGGCAAACCTGAGAGGATCGATTACTTGAAGATGGTGATAATCATACTGGCACGTAGAGATACAGTGTACTGAAATGAGCGCCTCGGAGCCAGTGAGATACCTTCAAAAAATCATCTACTTCTTTAAGTGTAAGCAAAAGTGAGCGATAATTTCTGAGCAATGTAAATGATTACTCATTTCTGGATGAACACTGCTAACTAATTACTGTTTGAACTGATATGATGTGGTTGGTTATGAGATTGCAGATTTATGCTGCTTTATTTGGGCACATTTTTGCTGTGGCTGAGTCGTTACGACGGTGGCTTGTTGGCCTATTGGTTTGGACGGTTTTATTTGTGGTTATTAAGTGGCAGAATTAGTCCGAATTTGGGACCGAAACCGACGTTTCATATGTATTCGCTTGATATGAACAACTGGAGATTTGTGAAGAAACGTTTCGAGGTTTATTAAATAACCACCTAGTGCTCACTTTGAATTTCGAAACCTTTAGAAGTGAGACTCACCCGTTTGTGCACAATAGCAGCCACTGAATGAGCTGATTCATTCCACCCGAAATTTGGCCAAACAGTATTGCTCACCGAACAAACCTTTATCAATTTCCATGTGCTACAGATCAATCAGCACACGGCCTAATTCTAATTTCAGGCCAACGGAGATTGGCTTCGCGGCGGTGGACAAGCAATGATCGACACAAACGAACGTGGTGGCATAATCCTGAGTGAAGTGACTCGAGACTGTGATCGCATTCGTATGACTGCTTTCCCGCGACCTTTCATACCGGAAAAATTAAGCACACAAGCATTTCAGAGGTTGCTTCTTTGCAATGCACTATCGCAATCTTCACTCAAATTTTTGGTGTTCTTCTTACAATTTCAGTTTGTTTCACGAGCTCGCTTCGCCCCTTTAAATCATACTGCACGCATTCCACCATAACTAAGCGTCTACGACACCAATGTATCGTATTCAATCACGTCGTCACCATTTCCAGTTTCTCTCGTCCGATTAATAAAATTAATTTTCAGATGCTATCGGCTATATCCAAAACTACGTTCACAACCGAGACTCTATAAAGAATGGGGAATTATAGACTATAATCTGTGTTAGCTGTTATCAACGAAGGCACAATAATCACATCTTCCATTATCACAAAACTTCAATTTCTGAATATGCACACAAAACTTTATACGCCGAATGAAAGTGTTCATATGAATAAAAAGTGGACCAAACCACTCAAACAAAAAATTCAAAATATCGCAAAAAATGCCGTGTAAGAACGCGATCAACGTGAGCAGCATTTTACTGTCCTACTCAGTGCACATTAACAACGATATAATATCAAAAAACAAAGTGATTCGAGAGAATCTATTTGCAGTTAAAAAATCACATATGAAGTATCATTTCCCTCTTCAAAATCAGCATTTTCATCATTCAAAAAATCCACTTAGAATTGAATCACCTGCAAAATAACAAACAATAAGGAGCGATATCGAAATGATGACGGCAGTAAGGGTAATTATACGGTTCAAAATAAGTGATCAAAATGATTTAATAATGACCAAAAATGTCAAAAAATTACCTGTCCACGAGCCTTCTTTTGTCCACCCAATTCGAAATGCTTACATCGTTTGATCGGTAACTGCTTACGATGTTTGCACTCGGTGCATTCCATTCTTAAGACAATTTTCTTGGTTGTTTTTGCCTTCTTTCTGAAGATGGGCTTCGTTTGGCCACCGAAACCCTTCTGTTTCGCGTCGTACCGTCTCCGGCCTTGAATAGCGCACAAAATCATTCACACTTCTCAAGACCCAACAAATATTCAAGCAATATTAAATGAACCTTGCGCGTAGGTTGATTCCTTTCCCTTCTTGTACTGTGTCACCTTATGCATTGTATGTTTCCGGCATTTGCCATCGCAGAACGTACGTCTTGTTTTCGGTACGTTCACCATTTCAACCCGATACCTATCAAACTAACAAATAATAACAAACAGAATAAAAACTAAACAGAAATAGCAATAACACAGTAACCAACGATACACAGCATTCTATTTTCACAACTACCTAATCCCGTTCCTCGACAAACCGTTCAAAAGACACTTTCTCATCCATGTTCAACAAAAAAAGGAAATCCGCCCCTCATCCAGTCAAATTTTCAACCCCAAATGACTGACGTTCATGAAAAAGGAATCAGCCAACACTACTATAGTCAATTCATAACGTCTGTTCAACACTCAAAGCGCAAACGCTAGAGATAACGCCGTCGCAAGCATACATAGGCAATGGATGAGTGGACGTTGTGAAACGTGACGGTGTGTAAGCGTGACACTGGTATGTAATGTTTGCATCGCTTGAAAATGCACTATATTCATAACAGCACGGCAAAGACCACCAAATTCGCCTAACTTACGTTCAGTCGAGAGTACGGCGGATCAACCGTCTGAAGTCCAAATTTTTTCAAAAAGAAAGAATGTACTTGAGCGTACAGGAATATCACAGGAACAATGTTATATAAAACAATTCTTTATTCGACAGAATAAACATTGAAAATTAATGAGAGGAAGGAAATATTCGAAACATTGATAGGTTCCACTCAGCGAGTCCTTCATCTCCTCGTACTCCCCACAAAACTTTTCCAAATCATACCCAAGTAACACTCAAGAGCGAGTCAATCTCGGGAACATTTCATTCAGTTTACATTTTATCGAGAAACTTCAAAACATCGCTCAAAAACGATTATTAAAATAAGAGAAGCGCAGGTTTATTATGTAATAAATATACGACACAATAATCAGATCGAGAACACAACAATCACAGAGGATCACAACGCTCAATTATGTGTGAGATAACGTGGTGTTGCACTGAATTTGGCATATCCCTTAATAACTTTATTCACTGCCTCCAAAAAATCTTTTTCGGTGGCCACCTTTCGACGTGCTCGAATCGCGAACATACCCGCCTCCGTGCAAACACTCCTGATTTCAGCACCTGAACAACAATTTTGGTGCATTCATTCTTCGGTGAGCAAACAAACAACTCGTGATAACAATTAAAAAATATGCTAACCAGTGCTGTTCGGACACAATCTTGCCAATAAATCATATCTAATATCGCGCTCCACACTCATTTGTTTCGCATGAATCTTGAATATATGCGCTCTGCCTGCTAAATCAGGTAATGCGAATTCAATCTTACGATCCAACCGACCCGGGCGTACCAGGGCCGGATCCAACGTGTCTGGACGATTCGTAGCCATCAGTACCTGAACAACAATAATAATAACAACCATGATAACCATAAATAATAACAACCGACTTTTATATTTCCTCTCGGGTCGAAACCATCCAACTGATTGATTAATTCCAACATTGTTCGCTGCACCTCGTTGTCACCACCCATCCCATCATCGAATCTCGCACCACCAACCGCATCGATCTCGTCGAAAAATATCAAACATGCCTGCAATGTGAAACTCTTTCAGACCAAAAAACCCGCACCATGCATAAAATTCATTTATAACCTTGACGAATAGATGCCGTGAAACAAAGCCAACTGTAAAGCAAGCAATGAGTAAAATACTTGATACGAAATAAATTCACTATAAATGGATGCTGCATCAATAAAAACAAGCAACTACCTTCTTAGTTCGAGCCATTTCGAACAGCTCTCGAACCATCCTGGCCCCCTCGCCAACATATTTCTGCACCAACTCAGAGCCAATTACTCGTATGAAGCACGCATCGGTACGATTTGCAACTGCACGTGCACAAAGTGTCTTGCCTGTTCCAGGTGGTCCATATAGCAGAACACCTTTTGGTGGTTCGATTCCCAAATTTACAAACCTTTCTGGCTGAAAACCAGAGAAACATTTAAGAAATCACATGAAAATTCTTCAATATATGCCAAGCATGTTCAGTGGTATTTACAAGACTACGTTTAAAATGCTGAATACGTGAAACTCATTGCTGAATTGATGCTAAAAAGACAATCAACAAATAAAAATCACATACGTGCAAAAGTGGTGTTTCAACAACTTCGCGTAATTTCTCGATTTGATCTTTGCAACCTCCAACATCTGCATACGTAACGTCCGGCTTCTCTTCAACCTGCAACAATTCATATTCAGTTGTATAGCAAACCTATGTGAAGTTCACACAACGAATAAATGCTCACCTGCATCATAGTAACGGAAGGATCAATTTTAGCTGGTAGCGGCAGATGTATTTGGTATTTATTTCGATCCACTCCCACTCGCATACCTTCCTCGATATCTGTAGGAGCAACACTTTCGGCTAAATCCACCACAAATTTAGCGAACTGCTTCACATTGATCATATAGCGTGGCTCATGACCTTCACTGGTGATGATTTTTGTGCATCTGGCCACCTAAAAGTACCATCGAAGCACAACACAGTGAACTGGTAAGAATGAAATCGACATGATACATTAAGCACAGTAGAAATAAATGGCACATAACAGAAATGAACTACTTGAAGAGGCTGTTCACTTTGCATTGCTTGCTTATCAGCCGCAATATCCCAGAGTGCAGGAGGCGCAAGACCAGTGTCACTTTCTTTCACTCCGGACAGCTCATTCACCTGAGCAAACGGAACATTAAACACATGATAGAGGTCAGATCAGTTTACTGAGTCTCGAAAGCAGAATCGAACCTTCTTCACACACTCTTCGATATCCACCTCAACTTGCTTCAACTGTTCTGCATAAGCGCCTTGTCCATAGCTCTTCAAAACCGCTATATCATTCTCATCAAGTGCTGAAATCACACAACTCAACAACAAAATCAAATATCTAAAACTGAATGCATGCTCTGATCTTTGAAATGCCCATTTAAAGAAAATAAATGCAATACCCTGGAAAGGTTTATCATCATCCTGATCTCCTTGACCCTTCGTATTCTTACGCATATCCTCACCCAAATAATCGGGCATTTTCTTCCAATTACAAGATGATTAACCTGAAACTTGAAGACACTTCAAAATATCATCATAAATTATCAACCATTAGAAGTTAGCAAATGCAGAGTTGCAGCCAATTACAGCAAGACAACAATCGTGTTGAGACCACAGATTTTGAAGTGAAATATTGGGCTGCGAATTTTTACAAAAATGTTGCAGCCCTATATTTTTTAAATTTTTCTGCGTCTCGAAGGGATTTTTGTTTTACTGTATTCTTAAGGTACTGCATAGCTCCAAACGTTCTTGTCACGCTTACAACCCCATTTTTTTTACTTTTTGAGACATTTTGAAATAAATTTTTGAAACAAATTTTGCAGTAAATTTTAAGACAATTTTATATTTCTGGTGAATGGACTGAAAACTGCATTTTGTCGAATTAAATTTCGTTACTTAGTGATGGTGCGTGGGGAAAATGCCAATCTGTGTGGCTGTGCGGATGGAGGAAAGTCAAAAATAATTGTAATTGAAAAATGAACACTCACTAAACACTGTGCATTTAGGAGAAGTGTTTATTGACGCTGATAATGATGAGAATAAATTTTTACAGCGATGAAGTCTCACTTTAAAATGTGGACATCTATCAAATCAGACTAGAGAACAATATTAATGAAATTAATTGATCACAAATGCAGCTTATATATTCGATACTCAAAACTTGAGTATCGAATATATGTACCCTCCTCCCTCTGCCGTAGGAAATATTTGAAAAAATCGATCAAAATGAACAACCGCGGGGAATACATTAATAAAATCAATCCACAATAACTTGCCAGCCTCCCCGATTTCCCAGAAATCTTCAAAGTAACCCGTAGAGGTGGTTAAGTGCACCTACGAGAAGCACTGAGTGGGATTTATGTAGTTCATTTCTCGGGTTCCAGCGATGAAAAATGTTGAGAAAATCAAGTGTAAAGCATGGGCGATAATCAATGAGTAAACACGTTCAACTGATATCGAAGAAAATAAATGATATGTCACATAGATCGATGATATCACGACAGTTCTTTAAGTTTTGTGAGTGTTTCGTAGTATATTTAGCGGACTTTTACACATCGTCAACAAAAAAACTTGAACGGAACGAAACGTAGCGCAAATCAAGCCAGCAACGAGTGGTAAACGCGTGAATAAATCAATGACGAAAGCAACCGATGACTATGTTGATGAATGAAAATAGCGAAAGTAATGGTTAACGAATAGAGCGAGTGAATACCTTATTGATAGATTATTTGATCAGTTCAGTGGCAAACTAATAAATAAGTGAAGAAGGAAAATTAATGATCAGAATCGACGTTTGCCACAGTTGATAGATTATCCGATGAACTGGAAGAAGATAGTTGTGCCTGAGAGGTTTCTTCAGGAATCGAGTATAGCGGTGAAACGATCACCGAAGTACTGACAGAATTACGTCTGAGAAGAGGGGTTAAGGAAGGCGCTGACTGCGTTCGACGAAACACTGGCGGCGGTTTTGAGTTTTGAGAAGCCCTTTGAACTTGATGGGCACGACTCGATGTGAACGCTCGACTCGAAATCGGGTTACGACAACTCAAAATTTACTGTGGCTTTATCAAATGCTGTTTTAAAGATAGCGAAAGAAATTCAAGTTCTCGAATGTGAACAGTTCGAAATGAACCTCGAGAGGGATTGCCTCCTTGACGCGACCTCTTCAGATGGGTTCACAAAGGACCACTGCGATGAACCCAGTGGTCTATATCGACGATGCCAATTCCTCACAACGATTACGTTATTCAACGACCTTGTCGAACAAGCAGTGAATAGCTGTAGTTATTTATTGATCACATAAAATTGATTGCACTCACAGCAACAACAACAAAAGTAACGAACAGTTGAAGAATTCGAGTCCTCCTCATCAAAACTCTTCGAGTGTGCTCGAAAAACGAATAAAATGATCCATATTGGCATGAAAAATGATATCAACTCATAGGGCACTTTCACTGTTGTATAAAGAATTTGATCGTGCTTCTGAAAATTACATTCAATCAGATTAGTCGAGTCGATCATAGCAAATGGAGTGCAATAAACTTACAAAAACGCCGTTACATCCCTCGTCTTCATTAGCGATCATGTAAAGTGTTATGTGATATGCGAGATCAGCTAACGACGATGTTTCAAATGCCCATAATAAACTGAAATCGATCACTTTATACAACCCTCCGAAAATGAGTTCCGTTTCGAAAGAAGTTCAGTGATGAGTGCAAGTGCACTATGAAACGATACGCACCTATAAAATTCGCACTTATAATTGCGTCTACGATTATCGGTGAACACAGATCCTTTCAAACGATAAATAATAGTGATCAGTGATACCACAATCAACTGCACTGTTATCACATTACCCGCTGACATCCAAATCCAGTAAGGGGCTGAAAGCAGTCGATTTGAAGTGATCATAATAATATTCTATTTATACGATAATAATACGTACCGTGACAGTCCCTCCACGGCTCAATCGCAACCAACAGCCCCGTATACACCAAAGTAGTGAAATAAACAACCATCACAGTCAGTCCAGACATCGACAACCTCGAAATGGAACATTTATACCAAATAAACAAGTAATCATAGAATCAATCATAGAAAGACAAACTTATTGGTGGATGTACGCTCAGTGCAATGCGATAAGCGACATGCGATTGTGAGATAAAGATGGAATATGATCAGTAACTCTAACGAACGCGCGTACACACTCACTAAAGCCGCCTCCGTTTTCCACCCCAAAATCCATTCCAATGAACTGAAATCCGAGACAATATCCAGATAGTAACAATGAAAGTAACGATGTCAATACTACTATAAATTGCAATGGTACCTTTAATAATAGCAACAATAATAATTTAAACACTGACGAACACTTAATAAATGAGCAACTCACCCACTCATAGACTGTATCAACAACACGTAGAATAATAAAAGTTTATGGTAGTGTACTCTTGATGGCCTATGTAATTTATAGATTCGTATCGCACACAATATCTTAACATTAACAACACATAATATCAGGTGAATAATAATCTCAGCAATTCAATTACAATGTACAATCGTAAATAATAGTGACCAATAACAAAAAGACTCAAAATAATGAATAATAATAACAAAATTATAATAACAAGTCAAAAGACTCACCGAAGTAACAAAACTCAAGAATCCAACCGCGCTACCTCTCAGACATGCAATCCCATCAAAATCGAATATACAATTCTTACAAATGATATTATTCATCGAATGATTTGCCGACGAAATGTCCACGAAATTACTTTCATTTGAACCAAATAATAGTTCACTTGGATTGTTATGTGCCATTTTTTTAAAATCAGTTATGGGTTCATTTAATACATTCCCTTCAACTTTATTTACCCATTTCAACCAAAAATATTGTCTTTGAGTTCCTTTCAGCACCTGCAATCAACGATTCCATTTCTCGAGTTCAGGAAATGAACATGGCGAACGATGTAATGTTATGGGTGTTTGCCATGGTGTCCCAACACAATGCATTAGTTCACTTAATGCTTCGGCCAATTATGCTTGCCATCTTTCTAAAGCAGTGCTTCTCGTCGTAGTAGGAAATATCTCCCATCAATGTATAGGGTGTGATTTTAGCATAACACAGTGTCGCTATGTTATGACTGATGAGCGATTGCTCGAATAAGAATGGCAAGAAGGCATTATTCAAGGCATATGAACACTCGAAACTGTACCCATCAATATTTCAATCGTTTCAAAACAATTACGTAAACCTCTACGATTAGAATGTGCAAAGAGCAACAGAACACTCAGCAGAAAATGCAAACAAAATTTGAAACGAATCGATCAATATCGAATGATAACGAAATATGGTGATAATAACCACATAAATATGATGCAAACGCCGATATTTAACTTGTGTGAATGACGGCATTTTATCTACAAGGTTCATAAAATAACAATCCCGCATTCAATAACGGTGATTAAAACGTGAAAATTGCACTCATGAAGTGAACGAAGTAGCACTGGCAACAGACGGATTCATTGCATTGCTCACTGAGCAAACGCACTCTAGGTGAGCAAACATAAGGCAAATTTGCAGCATTTGCCAGTTTCAGCCGATGGGCGTCCGTCCAACCTGACACTGGAGGAAGAGTAATGAAAACGAAGTTTGATTAAAATTTTTATCAAGCATTTTTTTATCGTTTAGAAGAATTTATCGTCCATCACCCATCATCTAACCATTTTTCTCATCAATGAATCATTATTATGAATGATGAATGCGTGTGAGTGGAAATATAATTTTCTGAAAAAAAACGCTTGCGATAAGTGAAAATACGGAATATATGAATGGAATGCTTAACAAAATAAGAGAAACCACTTCAAAGACAAGTATTCCAGGAAAACGAAGCGCTTCAATAACGCGTTTCTAGTTCGGTTATGTCGAATGCACTGAGTAATGATCAGTGGATTGATTTTTCAACGGAATGAAATAATTTTTATTGTTGTCATTCAATTAGGAACAGGTCCAGTTTCTTGCTGAACAAATCGTTTCACAAGACTGAATCTAATCAAAGCGAAATTTACCAAACCGCCACGAGAACGCGATGCATTTTCGAACACTGAATGCATCGCTAACAAACAGCACTAAGCCGTATCTCGTATTAAAAGGCCGTATCTCACAACTTCATCAAAAATCAAGTAATTTTTATAAACGCAAAAAATTACATGTGCACAAACATAAACAACACACGTTGATTGTATCTTACAAACTCCAAACATTTCTATAATCAAATACGAATTCAACAAAACATCAATCAATGCATTTAGTCATCGCACGCGGTTAGAATTTCCCGTCTCATACCAATAAACACCTCTAGGCATTATTTTAGCGTTTCAATGAAATCGCATCGAAGTCTGTGTCTTCGGAATGGCTTTAATCTGCACCAAGTTAGTGCTGATACCTAGTGAAAATAATTGGTGTATCACGATAAGAAATTCCCTTGGAACGTTTCCTTTTAGCCGTATCTGCGCTCAGCGAATGCTTTCGAGAAGTCTGCTTACTCGCTGAAGAGGAAGCATTGCTTGTGCCACTATTCAGTGCAACGGTTCTCATCGATTCACAGCCTTGTACACAACGCTCTTCAACCGAACTTATGTGAGCCTGCAATATGATTCATTATCTCTCTTCAACTTATACATGAGACTCCAGAATATACATGAGACGATAGTTACACGAGCAGAAGGCAAAGCAACTCACTTCCAGAGATCTAATATCTTCCATTACGGACGGCCCTGACGAATGCTCACCAATACGATACTGCAAAATCGATAGATAACCAATCAACGGATTCAACCAGGAATAAATTTATTTTCTCAGCAAAACTGATAGTTTCAAGTTTCAGAGAGCCGATTCAACGAAGAAGCGCGGAAGGACAGAAAAATGCGTTACGTTCCCTTTCTAAGAAATCATTTCTTCAAAGAATTCTGAAACAAAAAAGTTTAACTTATCAACCGAAATCGAAAAATGCTACAACTGTATCCGATGACTGTATCCAATTATTTGATGAAACGAAATTGAAACAATAAAGAGAACGTTGCGAAAATGAACCTTAAACTCATCAGCAATCGCTTTCACTTCAGACTCGATGGTATCAAGTCGATCACTGATAAATAAAGTACCATTATTATTCAAATTCCAATTTGATGAGGATGATGAACCGGAGTGTTGAGACTGAGCCGAGGAGAGCCGTAATAATTCAACATCTGTTTTTAAACGTTTTATATCACGCTTCAGTGCATCCAACTGTTCGGGTAGTACCAGCAATTCTGTGAATTATCATTCAAACAAGAGCGGAGCATCGATTGATTGCACAAAAAATTGAAATTCATACGAACTTTGTAATTGTTTATTTTGAGACAACAGATGCACGGAAATTAAGCCGAGAAACGCGACTGCGATCACGAGCGATGTCAGCAGTAAAACAAATGCATAACGGTTCAGTAACATGCAGTTTACATCCTTCGTCGCCCGAGCACACCACTGACCCTCTCTGTAAAGTGAATATTTCAGAATTTAAGCTTGCATCTCATTCCTCTATAAGCATCTAAGACACATGCTACTAGAATGTGAGAGTCAGTCATAAGATCGGAATGAACAGCTAGCTGTCACTCTACAACAATCAGTATACCTCGGGAATAGCCTCGATCGTTTGTTTCGACGATTCCCCAACGCTAAATCCAGATCAGGCACATCCGAATCGTCCGAATCCCCAAATAATGCATCATTATTGTGGGCCATTGCGGCTAAAACCAATAGCGATCACTACACAATGTGACATTGATGACGCAATATGCCAACAACAATGATGACAAGGTGTCTTGCATGATAATAACAATAAGAACAAAGATTGCCAAAATGATCCTCCATGAAGAGTGACTACTTTGCAAGGTGATACGGCAACGATAAAACACTGATAATACAGAGGCACGTGCGCTGATAAAGAGAGTTCGCTCTGATCACTGAGCAAACAATGAACGAACCAAAATAATATTCTGACGATAACAAAGCAGCGAGCTAATTGCACATTCTGAACTCAATTTTAAGTCTTTCGTTCACTTACAGAACAAGTCACTGTTTATTACCATTCCATACCTATGTAATTTTGTTGCACATAGACAACATCACTTTACAGTTGCACATAACCCTCCTCAATAAATGCTTATCAGTCACACCAGCGCTTCGCATCACTGACTGCATGGACTAGTTCGTTAAGCACAGGTGATACACCATTTGTTGAAGGCATTCACAAGCTCTCGAAACTAGTGCGTATCGCTGGCTGCTGAATTTGTAAGATGCTGGCAAAGATAATGCCATTTGGTGATAACAAACAAGCATCCGAGTTGGTTGTTAGGTAACTGCTCATCAGACAAACCAGAAAATGCAAAAATCTTTCCCTGATAGTGAATAAGCCTTCGCGACTGTTCCAAAGGAAATACTGACTGATGCTTCTATCGGGCTTAACTGAAACATCCCAATGCAAGATAGTATCACCATCAAAAACACATAAATACAGATTCACTGCATCAAACAACAATCTTCACTGGTTAGTTATCAATTCAAGCGGAATATTTATTTGCAATAATGCTACCGTCATTGCATTCAGATATAAATATGAACCTAATCACAGCGATATAAGAAAGACGAGAAACAACTAAGCAATACATTCGTTCACCTCTGCGTTCAACCATGTAAACATCTATATCTATGTAAATCAAGCAATGCACAACAAAAAAGAGTGCATCGAAGGCAAAATCTAAAATCGAAAGTACCAACTTATTCAAGCAAATGAACAGACGGCAAACCGTCGAGATGCTTGCTTGATGGAGTCATGGGAATTGAGTTGAGTCAGTCAAGTTGCGCTTCATTCGGCTTCGAGAACATACGCACAATTAATGACTAGCGATTCTTCAAATATTCCAAAAAAACTTCGGATATTTTAAATATGAGAGCACACCAAAGAAAAATATTTGAACATAGATACAACTCGACATAGTCAGCAGCCATCCATCCAACTATGCATTGATACATAGCAACCAGAATTAAGGATATCCGAAGATATCATATATTTTATGCACATCCGATACTACATTCATACTCTTGGATAGCTGCACTGATGCGGTAGTGCAGATGAAAGTGAAGAGTTACGAGTTACCAAACTCGAAGAAATATGTCTACATCTAATTTATATGAAGCATAAAATGAGATTACAATTAACAAAAACTGGACACGAGGCATTTACAGCAACAACAATAGTAATACTGCATGCACCACGGAGAGATGGCAGGCAGAAGACAGAGAACAATTTCAGAGTTTCAACACAACAATTCAGAAGCATTTCAACAGCCTCGCAATGCAGTATCGCGCACTAAGCAGAACCATTAATAAATATTGACTGACTGCAGTAAAAGTTGGGAAATGATAAATGATACATATATATGTGTAGACACTGGAAAATGGAATTACTGACAACGACAATGAGAACAATTTCAAAAAAAAAGAGGAAAGAATAGAGAAGGAACACTGACTGCACAATGGAAAACCGGCAATCGAACAGAGGGGAGAAATGGGACTTTGCAATGGTTTGCCTTCAAAAAATTCAGCTTCTTCGAGTCAGAAAGATTTTTTTCGCAAAGATCGTTAAGCGCACAAGCGTAATGAGCAAGCATTGCTTGGGTCATTTGAAATGCTGCTGACTGCTTCATCATGAATGTAAATAAGCATCGCTCTTTTTTGCTGTTAAGACCGCGAATGGCTGAATGCGCCTGACATCATTGAAAACTGAACGCAGTGATACACATACCATTCAATGGTTTCACCTTACTACAAGTTTGCTTTAGGCATAACATTCAACCCGACTGTTTGTTCTGCAACATGGAGGGAAAGGGGAGTGGGGGTGAGAGTGCAGGGTGGAATAAATTTGAGTTTGGAGACTGAACAGAGGATTTACGGGATTATACAACTTGGGGAAAACATTTGAGGGCGGGTATAGAATCGGCTGATTGTAAGATGAAGAATGTATACGGAGTTATGCGCTGCTATTATTATTATTACTAATCGAATAGAAATACAGTCCACAAGGGAATCACAAAAAGTTAAAAGAACAAGTGAATGAATGCATTATAAATTAAAAATCAATGAAAGCCAAAAAACAAGCGAATAAACAGAGCATATACGTACAAAGTACGCTAGATTCATCCGAACCACAGGCCATTGCTTCGAATGCCATGATTTCAATGAGCAAGTGTTGCTTGACACTACCCGTCACTCACATATCCTGAATGCGAGCAGGATTCAATTCAAAAAATAATTCACCAACTACTCTACGAACAATTTACAACAACAATCAACTATTCCACAGCTCCACTTTCTACCATACCAGAGTGCTTTCAACGCTTCAAGCTTCATGTCCCCCTTCCACCATGCCACAGACAGACGACGGTCATTGTATTCCCCGACAACCTATGTAACCGCAATTCGCCTTTCCGCCACAATAATACTCCACATTACCTGCAAACAACACGTCAGATGACAAACTTCAGAATAGCGATCAATCAACAAAGTCACCATATGTGAACCAGTGCGACGCTTTTAATAATTTCACTGCGGCCATTTCATGAGCACAAAGCATTTCTTAACAACCTCCTCTTCAGATACTGCACTTAATACAGCAATGCTCCTTCTTTACTTGTTTTTAAATGATTTTGTTTTCATCGTGTATAGACGGTTTCTCGGCTGTACAATCAGTATTTGCACAATATCAGTTACTTCTTGAAATAATTTATAGCAGCCAGAACAACGCTCGTTCATAAACCCATTACAAATATCCACTGATGAATAAAATTGTGAAGAGAATCTGCTCACACCTTGTCGCGAAATCTTCAGCGATCTGTTATTTTATGAGTCACGACGAGATATACCTTCAAGTAACAGCTAACTTACTGTTCAGTCGTGATAATGGAAATGTTTGATCCCATGAGTTAAGAGAATGAACAGAGGTACATTTATCTGACGTTTGTTCGGTAAGTTTGCACACGAAACTAGTTTAGTAATTGTTATTCGATTCAAACAAATATTACTCTCACTATAATTATTGTTCAGTCGTAATAATAAATCACAACAAGATATACACATCAACTCTCCATAACACCAGCATTCAATCTATTTTCCAACATGATACAAATGTCCACCAGCTTATCAACCAAGTCCACTCAAAATAAAAACTCCAAAATATACTCAGTCATCCTCTGAAATCAGTGGAACATTTCGGCATTGAGATGGCCAATTCAGACTCAAAAAACAAGCACGCACCCCAACATTGAATCTGCAATTCGGAGTTGCTCAAATTAACAGAATAAATTTGTGACAGAAAGGAGAGTTGTCATTCACAAATGAATAGTAATACACTACTCATACTTACAAAACATACAGATACTAACACCACATGACAGTTTGTCGAACGCTTTTTACATGAGAGAATACACAAATCAAATGATTGAACCGTCTCTACGAGGGTACCATAAAATGTGGTAATGACGATTAAAATGAGTCAAGAACTGCAACGCTCGCGATCGATATTTTAAAAAAAACAACGAAAACGTCATATCTACAAGAAAAAACAAATGCGATCAATAAACATGGATAAAGGAGCACGATACTGAAATGAACATGGCGGGAGAGTATGAGCAATACAGATACGGGAATTATCGAAAAACTTATATCAATTCATGACAGGATTTTTGATCGATCGTATGCAACAGAATCCCCTCCCCTCACCACGAAAATATGAAATGACAATAAAAAACAATACTAATGCTAGAGGGATCCGAAGAAAATTGATAATCAATTTTGCAAAAAAGGGTCTTTCCACTTCCCTACCAGATGTAAAAACTGAAAATTAAAAAAATTATTGCAGCCGAAATATGGCAACGTGTCAGGAATATTATCACAAACAATCAACAACAAAAAGCAATAATAAAACAACAACCTCAGTCTCATCGAATCTAAAAACACAATCAAACACACAAATTTTGCTATCAAAACCTCACCAATTAAATACAAAACGCAGCACCAATAACCTCCTCATCAAACGTCAGGAATCCTCGATGCCATAAAATGCACCGTTTCCACCGCCTTCGAACGAGATCATTGAAAATTTCAAAATAAATGACAACATCACTCTCGAACTGAGTCTTCATCCAAAGCTCACACCCTCACCAAGTTCACTCTTTATAAAATAATTCATTCACTTATTTCTACTACTATCACTCGCGAATCTAATCTATATCACACACCGTATACAATACAAAAAACACGATTCTCAATTCATTAATATCATCAAATCACGATCATCTACTATACAAAATTTACAACACAGCTTCACAACAACAATAATAATAAAATCATTTCATCATATAATACAACACAAATTTTTGATATCATTTTCTAGCAAGGTCAAACAACAAATACTCTGTTAAAATCATTATTACTGAACAACAATCTCGAGACTACTCGCTGAACTGATCGAGTCACGATCGGCATCATGGAACGATTCGGATGCGGATGTCGCGAAATCCATTGACGCTGAACTGGTCGTCGACGTGCCCAGGCCACTTGTACTACTCGAGCTGACCGTATGCTCGGGGTGTTGATGAAGCATGATCCGTTGTGCTGTCGGTGTTATATCGTCATCCATAAAGCCATACTCACAGCCACTCACAATGCCCATCAACTCGCCTCTGCTCTCGTCGTCTTGTTCCGTATCCGACTGAGACAGAACGAATTCATGTACTGTTGGCAGTTGTTGCGATTTCGTTGATGTGCCTGTCAAAATAACGCTTTGTGACTGAACGAGATTCGGTCGGTATGATGACGACGACGGTTTGCTTGAGGACAACGATTCAGAGGATTCGGTCGAGGAGATCGGTGGGGAACGTGAGCATGAGGCCGGAAGGTCTGAGGAGAGGGTTTCTGAACTGAGTGACAGTGGGAATACGGATGACTGTCGTTGGAGGGTGTGATTATGGCAACGATGTGAAGCGGGTGACTGAATTTGCTGTTGCTGTTGCTGTAGCATGGACAGAGAATATCTGGAGAGCGGTAACCGTCTGCTGTTCAGGCTAAAACAATGCGAAAGACGTGAGAGGAAACGCGGCGATGCCGATGTCACACTCATCAAATCCAACGCTCTCTGACGACGCAATGGACAGGATAGCACTGGACGTGTTGTACATTTACCAGTGCTGTTACCAATAATACTGCCCCCAGAATGGTTACTGTCAAACGTTACGCTACTATGGCATCTTCGATCATTGGCAGGTGAAGCTAATTCGGTGGACAACGAAAGGGACTGCTTCGATGACTGCTGTTCGCCTTCTTCTTGCAGTGGTGATAAATTGTGGCATGATGCTGACAGTTTTGGTGGCATACACGATTGTTTGAACTTCAGTGAAGAGGGCGGTGCTCGACAAGCGCTGCAAGAACACTTCGAGCTACTCGTCGATGCACTCTCGCAGCATGATGGCAGAGTGCGTTCCGAAGCAGAACTCGGCGCTGCTCCTCCATCAGAATGTTGTTTGATCAATACCCTTCGCTTATTTGTATCAGTGATCGGCTGGTTATCACACTGAAACGTTGGATTTGCACAGCACGTTAACCGAGTGCGATATTGTTCTTTACTTGTATCTTGACATTTCAGGTTAACGTTGTGCGTCGCAACATCGTCGTGACGCATTGATAGAGACGTGAAAAATGGATTCGTCACGCTGTGACTTTGGTTTAGCGTTAATTTTCGGTTCTTGCCACCGCTTTCGACCACTGTATTCTGGAACGAGAGCTTTTGCATGCCCGTAGTTGGAGAGGGCAGATCGGGTTTTCGCGACTCAACCTGCGGAAATTGTGCACCCAACATGTTGGCGGCCATATTTTTCCGCAGATTTTGTGGCTGAGGCTGGAAGTGCTGTTGTTGCTTAGAGACGCTGAAAGATCCGCTTAGAACACACGGTCGATCTAGACTAGCCTGTGACACTGTAGCAGACGAACAGTTCGAAAGAGCACTGCTGCCGGTTTCGCTGCTAGGACAACTAATGGTTCCGGCGAAAACATTCACAGCATCACCAGTCGGAACAGAGGCTGTATTTGGAGCAGAGATTGACTTTGATGAGCAAGGCAATTCTTTGGAGGAGGCCGAGAAGAGTGGATTGTCGGTGAACTGCATGGCACGCTTGCCGTTCGCATTCATCTTGAACGACGGCTCCTGGCCATCGTTATCCCAAAAGCTGCGCGGTCGTGCCAGTTTAACGTTCGTCGATATGATATGCTCACAACTGATCGATTTGGCTACTTTCGCCGTACATTCCACTTGAACACAGCTCTTGTTTTGGTTCTGAATTTAGGCTTGTTTCATTGACTGATTATTTGACTCAACTCAAATGGTTGTACTATCAAATTGAAAAACAAAACGAAACCAAAATCAAAAAACACATTTCATGACAGCTGAGTAAATACATGTTACTAATATTATTCTTAAAAACACATCTAGTAAATACATGTTACTAATATTATTCTTATTGTTATTAACAATTTTATAAATGATGATTTAAACAAATAATTACTACTAATTATGATAAATATGCATCTTAATAGCTAACAGCACACACATATACAGTATGAGTGAAATACTACTACCTTTTATATTCTTCTTATTTGATTCAATTTGAAGAACGAGTTGAAATCAAATTCATGGAAAGCAAAACCCAATTAAACTAAAAGCAAAATGAACCAAATCAGGATTGACCAAAACAAGCACCTTCTTTTCATCAGAACTCTCCGATGGCTCAGCCACTGGAGACCGTTGATGCGTGTTGTGATAAGTCGAAGAAAATGATTCAGAATGACTGAACGAGAATCTGCTCGGTGATCGGCATTGACTACTGCTATCGTTACTTGATCCGTACGGAGAGGACGCACTCAGTGGCGTTGTTGATGACACCAAACAGAATTGCTCGCGCAATTTCGACTCATATTCCAGCAACTGACCCATAAAATTGAAATTCGGCGATATTGACGGTCGTTTCTCTTTCACGAATCTATCAAAAAAATTTTCACAATTTGAAAAAAATCAAGGCCGGAATTCAGTTTCAGTTAAGCCATAAACCGTAGCATGAGCCTGAGCTCAGAAATAACATCGTGATGATGCCAGAAAGCCAGCTTTTATTACAGATATATCAATTTCTCCGCTATACTATATCACAATTCTTCGTACACTTATGATATCCATTATTCCTCTTATGTACTTGGCTTTACCTTCTCTTCCATTGTAAAGAGCCATCGAATGAGCATAAATGGCCATCGAATGATTATCACAAAGCCTATCATCTTCCACTTCAACATAATCATTTGTCTGCTGCCGAGAGTGACCGCATGATTTCGACAGTTCCGAACAGATACAATGCAAACTAAATCCGTTCAGCGAACAGCTTCAACTGGTTGTTGATATCGCCGTAAAGCACTTCGCCAACTAGAACACTGCCGTATTAATCAAGTTTATGAATTCACCTGTACGCCTGTTCGGATGTCCATTTATTCTGTCGCATTATATACGCTATTGCAAGCGTCGCACTCCGCGAGATGCCAGCCAAGCAGTGAATCAATACTACTGAACCACACTGACAGACTTTATCTGAAATGCGTTCTTGCAATTTCGCGATAAAACCTCATTATCATCACCACTGCTCAGTAAAAATATCATATACTACCATTAGCACAATTACTCTCACTATAAATCATCATCAAGAGTGATTCATAGAATCGATCGGCAAGTGGAATCATCAACCAGAAAAGTGCATACAAACAACCACAAATTAATGAACAATTTACCGACGAATTTGAAAGCTTCTTCGAAATGCGGCAATAACTTCTCCTGATATGAATCATTCACTGGAATACGCATAAAATGCCCATCCTGTTTCACACTTTCTGGACGAGGGCAATTCACACTCAAATTTATCACGTACTGAATACCATACTTCTGAATTGCAAGATATGAATATTAATAATTATAACTGGCAATAAATAATAATGACAAATACCAGCAACCATAACATTTTGCCGGATCATTTAACATCATGAATCATTCATTCCTCCTCACAGCAAATAATAACACCACCATCAAGTGAATACATTACGAATATTTCCAGTACTCAAATTTGAAATTCATTTCTGCGAACTATATTATGTTACTGTATTTATCTTTAGGATAGATCGGTCGTTAGGTTCATATGATGATCAAAGAATAAACTACTCACATTCAACAATACAGGATCGAGGGCATCCTGCTGAGAGCCTAAGTAGAGATAAGGTAGGATTTCGGTTGGACCATCCGAAGTGGCTGGAAGGCATGGCTGTGATATACTGGCTGAGAAGGGCATTTCAACTGACGTTGCAGTGCACGATGCAGTGTTACAGGTAGATGCTGAATAGGTCGATTGACTCAACTCGTGTGGCAAACGCGTTGATCTTGATATTTGATCAAGTTGGTGAAAGTCTGCGTGGCGATTGGAACTCTGATCAGAGCAATTATCATTAACAGTTAACGCGCTTGATAGACCACCGATATTTCCAGTGCTGAGGGCAGTGGATGCGGATGGTGAAGTGACAAGTGACGATGCTTCACACAAATCTGGATATCGCCTTCGAAATTCACCGAATCCGTCTGAAATTATCGAAATCAAACGTCGAATAATTTCCTGGATGTAAATTTCCACTTGTAATCATGCATCTTTTCATTCGCAAAAATTAAGCTTAAATAAAAAATAAGCATGCAGACGGCACAATACACAACACGCAAAAACCGATATCGTCTGATATCTCCAGGAGCACTGCTAACTGGTCGGAAAGGATGCAAGAGACAGTGTCAAACATCTCTATAAAACATCCATCATAAAGTCTTTACAACAATACACAGTGCCGAAAAATCAAATCACAAATTAATAACAACAATGTGACGGTGGTGAATGTCGATGCTACCATAATAATCATAATAACATCCAACTACTCATAACTGCAATAAATTCAAGACTGCAATCAACGAAAAGCTCTACAATAAAAAATAAATACAACAAAAGATTATACGCACTCCCACAAAGCAAACATCTGCCCCGTCCCAATCCGACGAAACACAACTAACTTCTGCTCAGCTCAACCCAAAAACCCCGAAGTTCACTTCAAAACATTTCAATCAAGTAAACAGTCATCACTGACGTAAATCAGTCAGCACTATTCTCATCGCTATTGTCGTCAACGCATCCATCAAAACAGCATTTCTGTGAGGTCGGTCGGAACAAAGTTAAAAATTCGCAAAACACGACCAACGAACTCTTTCGAAATGAAATTATGACTCAGTACTTCCGGTACACCAAGCAAACCTATTCAATCTGAAGTAATACCATCGCTATACAGCAAACAATTCCAGCAACATTCAAAAAGTGAAACAACACTGACGTCACACTACCAATGCCACAGGCCACAATGAAACACCTCAGATTGTTTTCAGGAAGAACTGAAAAAAGTCTGCCCGGAGAAAATTACCCAGGAGTTCTGGCTCTCTGCGGGAAGTCGGTCCGTCTTTCTTGAAGAGACTCCGGATATAAGTAGTCAGAGAGGAAACCCCGGTGGTCAGAGGCCATTCAGCAGGTCAGAAGTCTATCCACTACCAACCGCATTAACTACCGATTGAACTCGTGCACTGAACAAAATTGAAATCGCCAACGCAACAACAGTGTTTCTCATGAATGAGCAAAGATGGATGACATATGAATAATGAATTAAGAATGAACACAATACACAAAAAAATTATGAATGAATTCTACGAACCACGCATTTAATACAATCACGATGAGAAATGATTATTATATGAAATCATTACGAACACGAATCACGTTTCTTCTCACAATCATTTCATGTTCCCACTTTCTAGTGTTCCCACAACTCACTGATCACTACTACTCATCATATTTTACGACGACACACTTTTGAAATGAACGAATAGGACCGCAGAAATACTATCACAACAATAACAATAACAATCACGAAATTTTGGGTTAACAGCGCGACAACTTTCTGTCGTCATACCTAATAAAAATGAAAAATGGAACATACTTATGAATGCCACATACTTCCCTTTCTTCAAGCTCCACTCTACTGTGCAAAAAAACATACAAGTACAACATATAACTGATGAGTGAAGACTAAAATGAAAGAATTCATCGCGAGCAATAGAAATCTTCACGAACAAAACTAAACAATAAATACTTGCTTCTAAGGAAGAAATAAACAAATAACATGAGAGGAGCGAACCCGTCTCTGTGGCGTAATCTTTAGAATGATCACCAAAGAAGCGAGAACACTCCTCTCACATTTATATAATAACAGAGAATGGTGATCATTGAATGCTTTTTTGAACCTTCACAAAAAAGGTGGGTTTGTTTGGTTGTAGAGCACATTGATGACAGCACTTCGAATGAATAAATCTAGTATGAGATAAAATTTGATGCATTCAATGAATCATCATTAGTAATTAGTTGATGAGTCAACGCTACGCTACACGGAAGGCATTCAACAGAGCACAACGAACACACGTTCTCATCGATCTGATCACATCATATCAGCAAACATCATAAGCAAACGCCCATCAATTACCACTGATTATTTCTTGCTTCATAAAAAATCGTATTACTGATACTAAAGTTAAATTGAACATCGAACATTCTAATTGGCTGACTCATCTGAATTGATTTCAGTCTTAATTCGTTTATTCAAATCCTAAATCCTTTCGCATTAAACCCCACGTCCTCCCACAGCAACGATTTCAATCAGGTTACGAAAACATAAGGGACGATGGGCAGTTGTTGAATGCGAACAACGAACCCCAGCAATGAAAACGAAATGTTCTTTTATAGCAATACTATGAGTAAGTGATGATATCTGCATTTCATAATGAGATTTGAGGTCGAGTCATACTATTAGCATTACTACGAAATATTTACTTATTTTTTGGATGACTAATACTGTTTGTGAATAACAAAGTGATGAATAAGCGTTAGGTCAGCTGGGACACTGGGGCAGATGGTTGGCTGAATGACCACAGTGACTACGCCCTCAAATCGCGAGTAATACTCAGCACTCAGATCAAAAATTTCATCATAATCATCACATCAAAACGTTAGTATATAAGGGTGAACTAAACTCGCTGTTCAGCAATGTGCCACTGGTATGTTGTCAACACTTGTGCCTCTTGATATTTCCTTTCAGAAAGCTCAAATCGATGGATTTGAGCTTTAGGGAAGGCGCAATCAAACTAACTCTTCGGTTATCGCTCAACAGACATCAGCCACTGCTTAATAGCGACAATCCAAATTATAACAGCGACAATAACGACTATATAACACTGATAATCACAACAACTCTAGATTCTTTCACCAAACAAATCGTCAATTCCAAAACCTTCCACTTCAATAAAACACGCTTATATCAGCGAACAAAACGATATCAAGGCAGAACATCACCTATGGCACATACCTATAACCTAATCATTAAGCAGTACCCGTCGCCACTCTCTAATCGCTACAAACCCTCCAATAGTCAATAATCGCCCCTTATCACTTAACATCGAATTACCCATTACCCACACTAATGCATCGCAAACATTCACCCAACTATTACTGCTATACACTGAGTTGCATGATAAAAAGTTTACAGTCACATAAAAATGCATTCTGATTGACTGCACGACGATAGAACACAAACTGGAATATGGAGAATAAGCACGAGTGAAATGCGAGTTCAACTTATTCATGATCATTCTGGTGATAAAACAATGCATTCCTCACTGACAGCGATTCCGACAGATTTATAATTTCTTCCTCCCAGAATAAGAGATGGAAAAATTAATAATGATAACAAGGATAATAATAATAATAATAACAATAACCCTAATAAAAATAATAATAAAAAGAATAATGATAACAATAATTGATAATGAGGAAACAATTGGATGACGACATACTCGGTCTTTGGCATTACGGATAAACACTCGAAAAATGGACCCGAAATTACTCAAACCTTTTTTTAAACAAACAACACATAAATTTCAATACTCCGTGCGTACAGTGCAGTTAGCATTACGTACGTATGAATGCATTTGCATTGCTTAATCGCTTCGTTAGGTCGTCTATAAATATAACAAACATAAAAAATACTAATGTAAGAACGAAAGTGCATTCTGTAAAAATGTTGAAAAGTCAATTTGATAAGAATGAAGTGACAATTTCATGAACAATTATACA